CCGGGCGCGGACTTTCACGGTGTTGCAGCTGTTTCGCTGCGTCGGATCTGGGTGTCGTGCTGCTTTTCTGTCATCCAGAGGCGCCCGCCAGCGGCACCGATGAAGGCCCAAGGCACTCCCAGACCTCCCCCCGGTTTGCCTCCAGAGGGCCTGCGACGGTTTCGAAGAGTGCCCCCGATTGTGTCGGAGGGGCTTCAGGCACGTCTCATTTTTGTCCAGAAAAGGTGGCCAGGTCCAATCCACTGGAACGTCATGCAGGCGGTGCTCAAGAGCGCAGTCTGACGCGTAGCGGAATACTTTTAGTAGTGCCGCTCATTATCAGTACCAGCGTTCGGGTTGGCATTTGGACCCGCTTTGAGAGTCTCGCCGATCCATTGCAAGATTTGTTGCTGGTCAGGCGTATTGAACGAGACTTTGTGCTCCTTCACGCGCTCATAATGGGAGCTCTGCGCTGCCATGCATCCCTCTTTATCCCACAACCAAGAAGCTCCTTCAAAAACAAAGAGTCCTTCTTGCAGCTCACCGTCGAAATTACACCAAGACGGTCGACTTGCAGCATCTACGCTGTTACATACCCCAGGGGCCATGGTCTTGGCTAGGTCATAGTCGGACGCGATGTTGTCGTAGTGGGCATGCTGCGCCACTCGAACCAGAGGCTTCGTGTTCTCAGCTGCCAAAATGGCCTGGAGATCCTTCTCGTCAACCTGACCTTCCACGTGATGATGTCTCGACCACTCTGGATCCGTTTGGTGAAGATGCCAAACATAGTCGTCATGCTTGTTATGGTAAAGCCACTGGCACATCATATTGAACTGAGAATAGGGGCGATGCTTCACCCCAGGAGTAGTGGACGTCTTCAGCTGGTTGAAGAACTTCGAGAACGACTTGCCGTGCTTCTGCGAAAACCACTCGCGCATCTCGATGATGTGCTGACGCTTCACTACAACCGGAAAATAATCCATACACCTGGAGAGGAATAAGACCACTACCATGCCCAAGCCTCACCGCGGAAACATCGGTGTCGATCTTGATCATCGTTATATCTTGGCCATCGTCAATTCGCAGATCATTCTCGCGAATCGGCAACGGCCTGTACGGACCATGACCAAGATCGGCGTCGACAAAATCCCGCGACGTATTGGTCATGGTCACGCGCGCGCGCCGCGTGTCGAAATCGTTTCTGGGTCATGACTCGGGACTCCGGCGGTCGTTCGGGACGACCCGGGTACACCTGGAAAGCTCTCGACGAGGCGCAGCTGCTGGAACGCATGAGGAGGAGGAGGAGGAGGAGGAGGAGGAGGAGGAGCGGAAGGAGGAGCGGGAGGAGAAGCGGGAGGAGGAGCGGGAGGAGGGGGGGGAGGAGAAGGAGGAGGGAGAACAGGAGGAGGAGGAGGAGGAGGAGGACCCGAAGCTGAAAAACCCTGGGGGCCCACGAAAACACCTCCGCACGATCTCTCTCGCGCTTCCTCCCTCGAGCACCGCATGATCTCCTTCGTTCCCGTGGCCCACTCGGTGGCCAGCGGCGCCACGCTCCAGAACTTCCCTGGGTCGCCGTCGTACTTCCCGATCCTTCCGATGATCCGCCACCCCACCCTGCGAAGCGGCAGGCGGGCGTCGGGACCCTCTGGCAGTCTGCACGAGCTCTGCGCCCTGCGCAGCAGCAGTCCGTCGGCGGCGCGCCGAGGGGGGAGGAGGAGGAAGAGGAGGAGGAGGAGGAGGAAGAGGAGCTCCTTCTCCTCCTCCTCCTCCTCGACCCAAAAACCACCAGGCGTCCGAGAAGGGACAGGCCTTTTCGGATGTGGCAGTGCTTCCCAGCAGCCCTCCTCTCTTCTGAGAGCCCTCTGCGGCTTCGGAGAATCACCAAGCTCGTTCCACTACTCGCACAGTGCCGACTCGTAAACGTCACCAAAAAGACAAGTTTGCTTCGATGAGACTCATCGCAGATCCCCCGCGGCGGATCCAGGAGTGGTTGCTGCGGGAGTAGTGGAATGACTAGCCACCAGACCACCCCAACCCAACCCAAAGACCCGAATTTCGGGTTTGAGGGGTTATGGGTTCCATATGTGTTCTTCCCATGTTCCCCGACCCCCCCCCCACCCCACTGGAAATGGAGGGCAGATCGGAGCCTTCGGGCTGGGTCGGGGTGGGTAGGTGGGTGGTGAGCTACTTTGCGAGTCGTGGAAAACCCTCGTCGAGAGAAGGCTTAGAAAGCTCGTCGCTATGCCCGAGGCCTCCTTTAAGCCTGGCGGCCAGTCCCCCCTGTCGTTCCCCCGGGGCGCGCCGCCGAGGCAGGGCCCCCGGGCGCAGGAGCCCGACATGCGCCGATGCTTTGCTGCACATCTGCAAGCCGTTGGTCGAGGACGAGGACGGAGGAGGAGGGGGAGGAGGAGGAGGAGGAGGAGGAGGAGGAGGAGGAGGAGGAGGAGGAGGAGGAGGAGGAGGAGGAGGGGGAAGAGGAGGGGGAGGACGAGGACGAGGACGAGGACGAGGGCGGACGATGAGGAGGAGGAGGAGGAGGAGGAGGAGGAGGAGGAAGATGGTCTTCATAACAAACCGGTGCCAAAATGCTGCTCAGCCTACGGCGTGGCGCCGATGGGGCCTCCGCGGGAACGGTCAAGGAACTGGCTGCGTCGCCAAAGCCGTCCATGCGCCTTCGAGCGGCCACTTGACCTGATGCAGTATCGTGCGGCGCGGTCAGAGATACCTGATCGGCCACGACAGGGATGTCGATCGATGATCACGGTTAATGGAAGAAACCTGCGCGTGCCTGTCATCTCACACCAAGGACGCATACCCATTCCAGCATTTAATTGAACTCTGGCGTCAAGGGGGCATCCCGTTCTGAGAGCCATCCCACCTAAAGTGGACACGCATAGGCACCATTCACCCTAATCCCCCGCGGTTTGATGGAATGGGATGGTCACCTCTCCTCTCTGCACAGATAAAACTATGGCATAGCCACCTATCTCTCTTACTTTCTGAAAGAGAAGGGTTGTTGGCGGCACTGGCACTGACGCACCCCCACCTTCCATAAGGGGGAAAGTGCCGAGACCACCGATGGATCCGATCGACAGGGTCATTTCCATCCTGCGCAGAATCAACTTACTCTGATGAGGTGAAGCTTGATGAGGGCGCCATCTCGCCGCTTTTTTTGGGGGGGACAGCTTTGGGCATCTCTCCAGGAGAGGTGACAGGATTGCCACCTTTGCAGTGACTGACAACATGGCAGACGAACAAGCAGAAGGGCAGACGGACAGAGAGAGAGAGAGAGACAGAGGAGGCGATGGCATGGCCAAGGAAGGAGAAAGAGAGAGAGAGAGAGACAACACAAGAGAGACAGAGATATAAAGACTGTGAGACACATGTATGTGTATGTCTGAAGAGAGATGCCTAGGTATGCATTTATATATAGAGAGAAGAAAGAGAGAGAGAGAGAGAGAGAGAAAGATGGAAAGACAAAGAGATACAGATAGGGAGCAATATATATATAGAGACAGAGGGAACGAGAGAGAGAGAGAGAAAGATAGAGAAAACAAAAAAAAAACGAACGGACGACAGAGAATAGTAAGACAGAAAGAGGGTACGGCCGATGCGACAACACGCCTTCCATGCCGTCGAACGGGTCTCATCCGCGGGACACGTTTTTCCCATCTCGTTGGCGCAAAACTTCAATTGCCCCATCTGGAAAAGAAGAACATGGACACCGATCCCGACAAAGTAGGAGAGACTTGACCGATTCACTTGTTCTTCGATCTCCACACTCCGACTCTGTCTAGGTTTTCTTCGGCCGCACACTGATGGGCACGCGCGCGCGTGCGCTCGCGAGACGCGTCCTTGTGGACTGCTGTGGCGTGCGCCGCAGACGAGACGCAACTGGAAACGACACACCGTAGCCACCAAATCCCATGATGCCCCTCCCCGCAGGCCTCTGGAAGAAGAAAAAACGCCATAAACATGAACTTGTCGTGCTCCGCGCGAATTTCTTGGATCGGCGCTGGACCCCACTCCCTGGCGCGCGCGGAGCGCGCCAGGGGCAGCGCTGGAGGCGCCGCCAGGGGGACCCAGCGCGGATCCAAGAAATCCGCGCGAAAGTTTATGTTTATAGCGTCTTTGTTATTCTTCGAATGCTGCCCCACCCCCCGGACCTTCCCCAGCAACAAGATGCTAGACAGGCGCGTCAGCGCAACTGGATGATCGGCTTGCCATCCTCGAACAGAGTTTCTTCTACGACTGGCGTGGTAAACACCGCGTCCGTGTCCACAAAGCCAATGTACTCACTGTCTGTATAAACGTCTGCCTCAAACATACGAAGCTGCTGGCGGTCGTGCCCCCACATGCCAGGCGTGTCTTCGTTGAACTCGACGCGGAAACTCCGTGCCTTCGCTGATGTCCGACGCGTGGCGCTTTCTGCCAGAAGTCGGTCTGCGACCTTGTGGTCCTCTTCCTTCTCTTTGTCCATCAGAACCAGAATCTTGGCAGCTGGCCAAAACAGTTTTGACGTCCGGTCGAAATACCTGATGTAGTCATCCGTGTCTCCGTTCCACATTGGCAGAAACAGTTCCACTTTTTTCATCAACGACGTGGTTAGTTCTGACTGCTCGGGCTCCAGCTCCAACTGCAAGCCATATATTGCTGCAATCTGCGCTGAAACAAAGCAGATGAGGCCCGTTCGCCACAACATGATGAATCGTACCAGTCAGACCTCGTGGAGTACAAGTCCGTATATGGATAAAGTTGAATGCCCACTTTGCTCACATGGTTTGAACCAGTGGCTGAGGCGACAAGGGGGCTTCGTAAAATCCATTAGACAACGTTCTGAGATGCGTGGCCTCCAAAGCGGTTCCCAAGTGACCCCGAACACCTCGAATGTAGCAGGTCAAAAGACGTCAGAGCCATTCAGGAGCGCTCTGGACGGCTTCTAGAACAGTTGGCCTTGTCCATGGTGAGCGAAGACGCATTCGAGAACCTCTACATTTACAATCAGTCTCGATCTCGCCACCCTCCGCGGATACGACGCCAGTCTCCCTTAGGGCCTTCTATCGGCTATCCAAAGCCTGACACCACGCTCTGAACCTCCTGTTGGCAGCAAGCAAGAAACTGCATGCCCCAAACTGCATGAAGGCGTACTGCCACTGTGGCGGTCCTATTTTCCACTTGGTGTGCGCTTGTTGGTAGCCTCCGGGGAAATGTTCGAAAACTTGTGCTGGTAATCTCTCTCACACCGAAACGGCTCTGGATTGGACCCCGACGCACCCAGGACAGACCCGTGCAGAGGGGCAGCCTGGATTGTTTATTTCTCTTCTGTCTCTGGCAGAGCTCAAGAAACATCCGTCCCAGCTGGGTGCATCACTTGAAAGATCGGAGACCAGAATCGTCGCAGCTTCGGTCGATGCTTCGTCCAAGGCGATCGACTCAGCTACACGGCACGCGCATAAAAGTTCCATGCGCAACCAGTGGCTCAGATAGCCACTCCTGGGACGCACAGGGACATACTAATACGATATGTCCTCCTTGGAGGCGCGCGTCCGATCCGAACATACAGTTACCCATCTTGTAGTATGTCGTTTCCCGAGCGGTGTGGCCAGAAAGCGCCCGCCACGACGCATATACGATAAGATTTCTCGGTGCGCGCGTCGCCCCCGGGGGGCGACGCACATATAGTGTAAGCATGTTGGCATGACGCCAACATAAAGCTACTCTTATCCGCGAAAACCCCAAAGCCCAATGGTCCATGCGGCGGCCGCGCAATCCCCTCCACAGACGCCCACCCACGGGCCCCAAGACAGGCCCACGACGAACCCGCGCCCGCCACAAGATCCAGACAGCCCAGAAACGTGCCTCCTCGAGCCTCGAAGGCGACGGGCTTGCCTGGGGCGACTCACGGCCTCATGCGACCGCTTCTGGAAACCCGAGGTGGAGGAGGAGGAGGAGGAGGAGGAGGAGGAGGAGGAGGAGGAGGAGGGAAGGAGGGGGAGGAGAGGAGGAAGGAGGAGAGGAGGAGGAGGAGGGGAGGAGGAGGAGGGGAGGAGGAGGAGGGGGAGGAGGAGGAGGAGGAGGAGGAGGAGGAGAGGACGGAGGAGGAGGAGGAGGAGGAGGAGGAGGAGGAGGAGGGGAGGAGGAGAAGGAGGAGGAGGAGGAGGAGGAGGAGGTGGAGGAGGGGGAGGAGGAGGAAGAGGAGGACGGGGAGGAGGGGGAGGAGGGGGAGGACGGGGAGGAGAGGGAGGGGATGAACCCGAAAAACACAAACCACAAAAAATGGGGCCCGTTTCGTTTTTTCCGCCGGCCTCCGCCAGCCTTCCGCCGCCCTGCGCCGAGGAAGGAGAGGTCAGCTCCTCGCTCTGCGCAGGGCCAGGCCTTTCCTGCAACGCCCCGCGTGGAAGTTCGAGCCCCCCATGGCAAAACCCCTGGGGCCAGCGGCCACCAAAATGGGACTAGAGCACCCTCAAATCTGAAGTTGCCAAAAAACTGCGACACTGCAAAGGATCAGCTCCGGACCCCATCTTCCTGCTTCATTTTTCGAGCTGGATCGATCTTGAAGGATCCCTGCGCCCGAAAACGAGCGAAAACGCCCGTCGTGAAAAATTGCACCGCCAGGCCCCGAGCGGCCAGGCTAGGCGTCGGCAGCAGCGGCCCCGCCAACTCCAGCAGTCAGCAGCGAGGACGGCGTCTACCACCGGAGCTTGAAGAACCGCATGTTGGTGCAGCAGCACCTCATTGCGGGCCCCGGGCGGCCGGCCCCCGCCGCGCTGGTCTGCGAGAGGTGCTACTGCTACGGCCGCTGCAGGCTGGCTCGGTCCAGCCTACTCGAGGCGCAGCGACAGCGGCAGCGCGGCCATCGAGCCCAGGGAGGGCGCGTTCACCGCGGGGGTCTGGCCCAACGCCCGCGCCGCAGGCAAACGCGCGGGCGCGAAACTCCCAATCAGGCCTGGAAGGGCGCTCTCTTCAGCCTCCCAGGCAGCTCGGCACCGAGCAGGAGGCGCCTGGACGGGCGCGGAGGCTCTTTACGCGGGGCCCCCGCCATAAAGGCCAGCGGCTGCCGCCGCCGCCGCCGGTCGAGCCCTGGTAGAAGTGCTATCCGTAGCTCCAACCACCTCTGCCTCGTCGATGGGCTCGTCGTCGGGGGTCTCCAGAATGATGTCCTCCGCGTGGCCCCTAATCTCGCGGGCCGAGTAGAGTAGAGTAGAGTAGAGTAGAGTAGAGTAGAGTAGAGTAGAGTAGAGTAGAGTAGAGTAGAGTAGAGTAGAGTAGAGTAGAGTAGAGTAAGGTAGAGTGTAGTAGAATCCACCACAGTCCAGGTAGATGGTAGAGTAGAGTCGGGTAGAATAGAATAGAGTACAACGTAGTAGAGTCCACTCCAGTCCAGTCCAGTTTCGCTCAGTCCACTCCATGTCATGGTCATATGTGCGGAGCGCGCCAGGGGCGACGCTGGAGGCACCGCAAGGGGGGCCCAGCACGGATCCAAGAAATCAGCGCGGAGCGGCAAAAGTTTCTGTTTGGGGCGTGTTCACTTCTTCGCTGCCGGCCAATTCGCTTTGCAGTGCCCCTGCATCGCTGCCACGCTGGAGCGGGTTGCCCCGTCCCGCCGCCGACGGAAAAGTCTTCTTCTCATTAGTATTATTTTGTTCTTATGTTTAGTATTATTAATATCATCAGTACTATTATTACTAGTATTATCATTATTCGTAGTAGCATTACTATTACTATTACTATTACTATTACTATTACTATTACTATTACTATTACTATTACTATTACTATTACTATTACTATTACTATTACTATTACTATTACTATTACTATTACTATTACTATTACTATTACTATTACTATTACGATTACTATTACTATTACTATTATTACTATTACTATTACTATTACTATTACTATTACTATTACTATTACTATTACTATTACTATTACTATTACTATTACTATTACTATTACTATTACTATTACTATTACTATTATTAGTATTGCTATTACTATTACGATTACTAGTACTATTACCAATACTATCACTATTACTATTACTATTACTATTACTATTACTATTACTATTACTATTACTATTACTATTACTATTACTATTACTATTACTATTACTATTACTATTACTATTACTATTACTATTACTATTACTATTACTATTACTATTACTAATACTATTACTATTACTATTACTATTACTATTACTATTACTATTACTATTACTATTACTATTACTATTACTATTACTATTACTTTTACTATTACTATTATTATTACTATTACTATTACTATTACTATCAATATTACTATTACTATTATTATTACTACTACTACTATTACTATTACTATTACTATTACTATTACTATTACTATTACTATTACTATTACTATTACTATTACTATTACTAGTACTAGTACTAGTACTATTACGATTACTATTACTATTACTATTACTATTACTATTACTATTACTATTACTATTACTATTACTATTACTATTACTATTACTATTACTATTACTATTACTATTACTATTACTATTACCATTACTATTACTATTACTAATACGATTACGATTACGATTACGATTACGATTACGATTACGATTACGATTACGATTACGATTACGATTACTATTACTATTACGATTACGATTACGATTACGATTACTATTACTATTACTATTACTATTACTATTACTATTACTATTACTATTACTATTACTATTACTTTTACTTTCACTATTACTTTACTATTACTATCACTGTTACTGTTACTGTTACTGTTACTGTTGCTATTACTATTACGATTACGATTACTATTACTATTACTATTACTATTACTATTACTATTACTATTACTATTACTATTACTATTACTATTACTATTACTCTTACTCTTACTCTTACTATTACTATTGCTATTGCTATTGCTATTACTATTACTATTACTATTACTATTACTATTACTATTACTATTACTATTACTATTACTATTACTATTACTGTTACTGTTACTGTTACTATTACTATTACTATTACTATTACTATTACTATTACTATTACTATTACTATTACTATTACTATTACTATTACTATTACTATTACTATTAATATTACTATTACTATTACTATTACTATTACTATTACTATTACTATTACTATTACTATTGCTATTACTATTACTATTACTATTACTATTACTATTACTATTACTATTACTATTACTATTACTATTACTATTACTATTACTATTACTATTACTATTACTATTACTATTACTACTACTACTACTACTACTACTATTACTATTACTATTACTATTACTATTACTATTACTATTACTATTACTTTTACTTTTACTATTACTATTACTATTATTATTACTATTACTTTTACTTTTACTTTTATTTTTATTATGATTATTGATGATATCATTGTTATGATTATTATTGCCATTATTATCAGCCGTATTATTGATATTATTATTATTCTTCTTCGACTAGGCCTTCCTCCTCCTCCTCCTCCTCCTCCTCCTCGTCCTCCTCCTTCCTGGGCCCCGCCCAGATCCTCTCAAAATCGGTCCCTGGACTCCTCTGGGGGTCCGGTCCCGACTCGTGCTTCAGGGGGCGGAGCCTGGCCGCGGCGACGGGACGCTTCCGGGGGGCCCAGAAAGGACGAGAAGCGCCACGCG